GAAAACGGGCAAGCTCAATGCTAACTGCCTTAAGCTAGCCTTTCAACGTTTCACCCTGCACGCCTAAACGCAAAAATGGACAGGCAGATTGCAGGCGGGACACGTGGCCGGAACGACGGGTTCCAGCATAGAGGCGTCTTCCTGTGGATAGGGACCACACTTCACACTCCTGAGCCTGGTGCAATCTGGAGCAAGGAATTGCCCCTCGTTGGAGAGCCGGAAGAGGCAAGCCAAAACAAATCCACCCAAGCGCTACGACAGGAACATGGACACACGCCAAAGAATCTACAGCCCGTGGTGGGAATGACTACTGAACAAATTCTTATCTAAGGGTTGGCAGCTCTGTAACGGCTATTGTAAGGGTTCCCCATCGGTTTGGGGTGACTTTCCTGGTTACAGCAAGTTCAAATCTCCCAGAGCCTGGATGCAAAACATGCAGAAGCTTGTGATTGGCGTCCGAGGACGGTCCTCGTTTTCCTCTGCGTCTTGGGCAGGGCAGTACGGAAAGAAGAACCTTAGCTCAACTTCCATCATGACCAAGGGCCTTGACCGTACAGCTGCAAATCCCGAAGAAAACCAAAAAGCGTTGCCGCAGTGTGTTCGTGTTCTCTGGTTCCAATGTGGAGCACTCTTGGGCATTGCAAGGCGTGTCTGGATTCAGACACGGTTTAGGAAAACTGATGTCTCGAAATGCCGAATGTGCATGTGACTGCAAGAGTCAATGCAGGTTGAGAATGCTACTGCCCAAGGATGCAGGCGAGACACATGTAGTCCAGGCACTGTCGTTTCAGCACGTCGCTGTTGTAGACATGCCTTTGATGTTTAGCATCAAGTGCTTTAGCCCAGTCAGTGTCCGGAAGGATGCGAGCATCCTCTACAGTGAGTCTTCTAGCCCGTGAATATTTGCGGGCATAATTATCAGATGCAGCTCGTGGGCTTCGTGCGTTACAGTCAGTATAGGTCATACAGGAACCCTGAACTCCTAAACCCTAAACTGCAAAGGAGGCCACCTAATTATACCTAGTTCTAAGCGACCACCTTTTTACGCCCACAGCTCGACGGCGACACAACCTCGTGCCTCACAATTTGGAGCCTTCCTGAGGGACTTACGAGGATCGTGTGCTGCAAAACTGCAGCAGAACTCAAACAAATCTACACATGCCCAAAGGGTCCGAAGTATCTATATTACAGTAGAATGCAGGGTTTCTATTTTAGGAATCATGTATATGAGTGCGTAAAGTACCCCCGTGACGGTACCTAGAACTTTCTAGGATACAATCTTCGCAGATCCCGGGGCTGTGTGAGTTCAAGGTCCAAGTGTCGCATTCGTGAGAACGCGCTCCACGGGAACCTCCCCGTTCCCAGTCAGCCGTGTATCTGCGTATGTCACCTGTGCGTTTCGCTCAGATGCCCCTTCTTTATTCGTAGTTCTGGTGCGCAATGCGGAGTTTGGAGGGTCCATGTGGGTCCTTCTCCATGTCAAACTTGGGAAAACGTATCAAGCTAAGAAGAACCAAGATCTGCTATGACTGCTATGGAGGGCTCGTGTTGCATCTGGATGCATTTATCTTTTCCCTGCAGGCTTGCCTCGACAAGCCTCGTGCTCAGTGTAGTGAAATGAACTGCTATGCCAAATATATATATATACACACACACACATACACATACATAAATACATATACATATATATATATATAAGTACCTACCTATCAAAGGTAGGCCTCTTAATTTACGTCTGGGCTGGACCACGGGCCCGTCACTCCAAACCTCCAACCTAACATCCACAGCCCGGTCACCCAAAGAAAGCCGGGAGACCCCGACACGAC